CTTTTGTCGGGCGTTGATCCCCACTGCTATAAGTGCTCCATACGGAGTCTCAGGGATCCGCGAGCTATTCGTTCACTTAAAAAACTGACTTGGTTAATTTTGTATCTGTGAAGAAGCATTAACGTCACTAATAAAATTTGACGACGGTGGTGTCGAAATGTGGTAGTGATTCAAATATAACATTATCTATAACTAAGGGCGCAGCAGCCATGGTTTTCTAAAAGGGAGAGGGTTCAGAATAGAAAATTCCCGAACAACACATCGCGATTAGACCACTTTATAAAAAACGTCTTTTTCATCGGATAACGAGATTTCTGTTGCGTAAAATATTCAATCCATGGCCGACCCGAGAATTTAAAATGTCTTTTCATATCAATTCAATTGTGTTCATCGTTGCTCGTCTTTGAGTTGACTAATATACTACGGCAACCATGAAATACTTGTTAAACCGTCTACTAGCAATGAATGGATTGAAATCGTATTTTTGAGTTGCTCTTCCAGCACCTAGGATTGTCGCAGTGTTTCGTTGTTAGGAGAGTTTGCAGTTATGAAGCCAATTATATTTGATACCTTGATATATTTGATCGAATTCAGTCTATGCATGAATGGATCAGTGATTTCTAGATGCAGTAATGGGACAAATATCGGCCGACACAGTAAAATGATCAAACTTTCATTGAAGGGTTTAGATCAGGGTTCGGCACACTACGGCCCGCGGGCCGGATCCGTTTAAATGATTGATATGATAAATGATCCGATTCATTTAAATGATCAGTCTTCGCGCACTGCTGAAATTTAACTGAAATCTTGGTGAAAAAATTTTAATCATTGGCCATTCATTTGGTTTTAAACTTTCTAATAATACGTGCGGCCCGCCAATAACTTGCAACCTTTAATTTTGGCCCGCGAACGAGAAAAGTTTGCCGACTTCTGGTTTAGACTTTAGAGTCAGTGAAGATATACAGTCACCCCAATTCAAATCCTCCACCCACTGCCTGATCTAAACCCTTCGATGAAAGTTTGATCATTTTACTGTGTCGGCCGATATTTGTCCCATTACTGCATCTAGAAATCACTGATACATTCATGCATAGACTGAATTCGATCAAATATATCAAGGTATTAAATATAATTGGCTTCATAACTGCAAACTCTCCCTTTAACAACCAAACACTGCGATAATCCTAGGTGCTGGAAGAGCAACTCAAAAATACGATTTCCACTCCCTCCACTTTCCTATTCTCGATCCGCTAATCTGTCTCCCTCGCACATCTGCTTCACATCCCTATCCTCGACCCACCGTCCGATCTCCCTCAACATTCCTATACTCGACTCACTGTCCTATTTTTCCCAACCTTCCTATCCCCTTAAACCTTTTTATCCTCGACTCATGGCCCTATCTCCTTTTTTCTATCCTCGATCCACTGCACTATCTGCCTCAAACTTCCCATCCTCAACCCACTGTCCGACCTCCCTCAACTCACTCACCTTCAGCCCACGGTTCTATACTACTCAGTACTTAACCTAACGGCGCTATAATCACGACTCGATCGTCAAAATAAACTTTACCATCTTGCGACTAACTTCCATGTGTTATACTGGTCGACATGCCATTGAGATGATTCAATCGTACGTCGACAAAACATGATTGACGGCATTCGTAAATGTAGGCTGGAATCTCAATTGGTTATCAATAACCATAAGGTTTGGAGTCACTGTTTTTAAAATTTTAACAGGTCATTCGATATCGACATATCTGAGTTCCTTTTCATAACTCATTCAATGTCGCCTGTATTTCCGTGCAAGGCAAAACGATGGTCTTGGCACGCTTGGTCTTTTTCAACGAATGTTCTGCCATATCCTGCATTTTTTAATCCAACTCAGATAGGTGTATATACAAATTTCTTTTGCGTGGCTGAGAAGGCTGAAAAGTCAAAAATATAAGTCGCCCAGTGAGTGTAATCCCTTCCAAACTATTTTTAAGCCATGAAATGTAGCGTTGCCAACTGCCCTTTAATTCAGCGTATACTCCCAAAATTGAACTTATCTTATCTGCAACTTAATGAAGTTGCAAAGGACGCAGTTCGTACGTAATCTTTGGCATCACTTTTACTATAAAATGTTGAAGAAAAATACTTTATACGTACCAGAGCACTATTGCTTATTTCGGATCAGCATCATATTGTCACAATTGAGTAACTTATATACCTAACGAACACAATCAACTGCGCTAAACCAGACGTATCCGTGGATTCATCCAATTGCAAAGCGTAATTTCCTCCTTTGACTCTATCAATCAGTTGGCACCTAATATCTTGACCCATTTCGCTGATACGTCGGCGAATGGTAAATACAGACATTGATATTTCTTTCATTTCCTTAGTTACCTTGTCTCCATTCATAATTTGACTAATTGCAATAGTTTTGATTAGTGTTTCTCCGATGGTGTGTGGTTTTTATCTTTTGCGATTAAATATGCCACTTCATACAATGCCTTTTGAGATTTTTCTAAGATTGTGAGATACTTTGTCATTGTTTTCTTTTCGCCTAACAATTCCTTTCTGAAACCAAGCTTTATAATTTTTTCGCTGTACTTCCGCTTATAAGGATGGTTTGAGTGATGTATTTCTATCCGATGAGGGTGAGGAGATGAGTCTTTTGTCGGGCGTTGATCCCCACTGATTGAAGACGCAAAGATGTCTGAAGGTGCATGCGGTGTTCTGTTCTCACTTAATTTCTCCTTTGTATCTTCCGCTCGCGGCTTTTTTCGAGTATTCTTCAGTTTGTCAACATTATTTGTGACTAAAACTACCTTTAAAATTTTTAACCCCGCTAAATTTTGAATTTAACCAAGAATATCTTACAATAACAAATGTAACAGCATCCCAACTATTTAATTTAGAATGGACAAATCTCATCATCTGTCTTTATCAAGCAATTCCACACGACTACTGCTAACCTCGCATTGCTACGAAACAATACAATTGTCTACCTACGTATAGTAGGATAATACCAATTAACAATGCAAACATCTACGTCAGGGTGGTCCAAGGTTGTGGGCTCCGCGGGCCACAAATTATTTTGGCATTGGTCGCGGGCCACAATAGTATCAAGAATAGGTAAACAGTGCAATACAAAACTAGCACTTCTATTGTGTAAACACATAGGCAGTGATGAGCTGTAGCCGGAACGCACCGGAACGGCGTTCCGGTTGTTGGACTTTTAATTGCATTTGCGTTCCGGTTGTTGAAATAAAATTATGTCATAGAAAGTCTAGTTCTAGTACATCTTGTAAACTTACTTATTAACTTACGTCTTGTTACGCCATAACTTTTTTTACATTACAGCAGACAAATATTTAGTGCACAGCAATAACGTGTAATGGATGTTTCGCCGACCTCTGACCCCGTGAAATTTCATCCTATACCTTTCTAATAAACACATTCGTATTGAATTGGTATAAATATTCTTGTAATTTTGAACAGACATATACCAGATAATTTCTTCATATTTCATTGTAGTCCTTCGGCTCTATCTCAGGACAGACAAAAATTTGTGGTAGCGTCCGCGTCATGTTGTAAATATATATTACATTTTCACAAATTAGCTGCGTTCCGGTTGTTACGATTTCCCAGCTCGACTACTTAGGGCCTCTAAAACTGGAAAAGGCATGATCCGGCCCTGGACAGGTTATACTGAACTTTTGAATTATAGGAACCTTCATTGCCGCTGCTTCAGATACTAGTAAGTTCATAACATTATGACGTGAAACATAGAAGAGACCTAAGTACAGTCGGTGTGTTAGTAAGAAGCTTAATTAACACTGTTCTGCTTAGAGTGGCTGAGTGTGGTGCAACTACCGTACCGATATCCCGGAATCGGTATTCAGGCATTTAGCCATTAGGATTAAGTAACGGTGCTAAGGTGCACTACTAATATTTTAAATTTAAATACTGGTATGTATAAAAAAACAAATCTCCGAATTACTGACAACTGACGTTTTTCAAGTATTAAACTTACAGAAAAATGCCATTTAATCGTTAAACGACTGACCGTTTTTAACAGTAATGCTGTTAAAAAAAAAGCCAGCTGTTCAACGTTTAAGTGGCATTTCACCGTTACTGAATTGAAGTTACGGTGAAATGCTATTTAAAATATTTAATGATTGATATTTTTCAACAGTATCTTTGTTGAAAAAAGCCAGTCGTTTAACGTTTAAATGGCATTTCACCGTTACTCGTTGAAGTTACTGTGAAATGCTATGTAAAATAAGTGATGACTGACCGTCTTTTAACAGTAATACTGTTAAAAAACCTGTCGTTCAACGTTTAAATGGCATTTAACCATTACTCTTCAAAGTTACGGTGGGATACTACTTAAAATATTTAATGACTGGCCGTTTTTAACAGTGATACCGTTAAAACTCGCCAGTCCTAAAACGTTTAAATAGCGTTTCATCGTAACTTCAATACCATTAATACCCGATTTTACTGAAATCATCAGTTTGGGTTAATACAGTGATTAACTCTATTTAGTTGTAGGCTTATAATAAATCAAGGAAAAGGAGAATCACAGAAATTGTCAAAGATGAGTTTTTAATAGTGCTTCAGTGCTTATTGAAATGATTGGTCTAAGTGGCCAAGCGCTTCAGACCTTATTATTCGCCAGTTGAAATGCATTTTGCTTGTTTTTCTTTCTCAAGTATTATCCTAAATGTTTATAGGCATCAGAAATATTTTTAAAAAATATGAATAAATCATAATTTGGCCTTGAATGAGTAATTGATACCCAAACTTACTTTCAATTTCAGATAACACGGAATACTTGTTACATCCATGTTATTACATTTTATATATAGGGCACCAAAGTCTTGCTTCCTTAGAGCCTCTAAAGGCCATGATCCCGCACTGCTTATTAGGGCAGGAGTTTCGGCTGTTACAAAGGCACTAGCGACGTCGTCCTTGTGCTACAGCTAGAGTTCTAACAATTACGGACGATAGTTGAAAGTGCTTAACAGTATCAATACTGTAATTTTAGCAAGTTAATGCTAACAAGTTATTGGGTTTTGTCGCAAATAACTTAACGATAAACACGATATGTGAAAGACAAAAACCAGGTCATTGACTTGTGAAGTGATACATGGGCATTCCCTCGCATTCCCACTCGAACTCCCAAACTCCGTTAAAGTCATGTTCAGTAACATAGCAGGTTCGAGAAGCAGGTTTGAAATGTAAGTTACTTGTTTGTTTGAACGGGCATTGAATTCTGGTTTTTAAAACTCCGTTTGCTGAAAATACTTCCAGATGACCACCTCCGTGGTGTGCTACAAGTAAATTTCCATTGACATCAAAATCCATTCCATCTGGTCCCCCAACATTCATTGGATTGTCGTAATCAGCTAAAATAGCAATATTTGATAATTTTATTTGGATTCGTGAATTCTGTATTCCACTCTTGCTACATATTTATTATTAAAATCATTCTTAGGTGGATAGCGTTTTCAATGATGTTCTATCAAATTTTACTACATCTGACATAATTCATTATTCACAAGAATAAATTTGTACTTAACATTTATAAGGGTGGAAATAGTCCAGGCCACACGAACCCTTTTTTCAGAGTCTAGATAAGAAAGTACACATACCTTTTGGTAACGTTGCCCAAACCCTTCTGTTAGATAATTTACCGGACGACACAACATCAAATGCAATAATGCTTCTGGTCATTGTCTCAGCAACAAGCAGCAAATTGTCGTGGATAGCAATACCATTACAAAATCTAAATGTTTCATCCATTGCAACTGGAATTGTGTTTCCTTTTTCAAGAAAGTATAAACGGCCGGAAGGTTTCTTAAATAAAATTCAATAAAATATAATTTTTGAATATTCAAAATGTCGCCTGTAACAGAAAAAATTGGTCACGATTCTGAATATATGATTTTTTGAAGTTCTGCTGTAATATTAAAATTATATAATATGAGCACACGCCTGTACATTTCAATATAAATAATATCCCAAAAAGTGTTATATATATACCTGAAATATTGATGTTCTGTCTTCGGCTGAATGTGCAGTGCAATTGGACTTCCGGGACCTGTTACCCAAAGATCTCCATCTTTATCAAAGACGAGATCATTACAACCATTTAGGGCATTCCTCGAGCTGTCGACTTTGCTCAACTGCGGAAACACCAATAGCAATATTACGTGGTATACACTTACTGTTTTTTAATCTTGTTTTCTCAACTGACGACTCACTTGTTGGCATTTGCCGTCTTCGGGTGAATACTTAGTATCCCAAGTCTCATATCAGCTATCCAAATATTCCCAGTTTTGTCAGATTGGCACCCAGATTCCACCATAATCGTCAAATGGAGGCGTGCATACGACCTTGTGTTCACCAGTATCTAAATTTACTTTATGTAAATTTCCGGCAATCTTGTCCAAAAACTGAGATGCTTCTTCGACCCTGGGGCAAAAATACAGAAGTAAGCTAGCTGCGCTTGAAACGTAGATACTTTAGTTTCATGTTCAGGTATTTATGCGGGCAAGACTTCTATTTATATGACTAATTTTCACTAACAAATAATGCTTACCTCCCATCTTCCAAAGTTGGCATGGGTGCCACCGCGTAGAAGTCTCCCTTTGTATTTGTATTGACGGCCCTTCAGATCCGTCGAGACCATCGCAGATTTTTTTCAATTTCAGTTCAATTGTGACGGCCATATTGCAATTTGTCACTGACGAATCACGATAAATTTAACGACTTGCTTTCCCTTGTACCTTTCCTTAACTAAAGTAATATGAAAGGAGTCCTAAAACGCAATTGGATTGCGCACGAAGCAAATATGCACAAATTAGGTTATGCATTCACATAGTCTACTTGCAGCAAAGTAGAACAGAAAAGATTAAATATTTACCCGAGACAGTTATTTGTCGTTCTTCTTGTCATGTCCGAAAAGCCTCATGTTATCGCGTCCCACGTTGTCAATACATGCTTGATGTTTCCCTTTTCCTATGGTACCACAAAATGCTGAGTAATTTAGCACTTAACATGTGACGACTATGATTCGATTGTTTGTCTGGCGTACTGCGAACGGCAATCGACAAGAAACATTTCGCTATGTCATAATGGAAATAACGGCCAACTTGTGGCGGCATTTCAGATGATATGATCACCAGAGTGAAATTGAACTTTTTTTTTCATATGGTGGTATTTCGCGTAAGATTCTTGATCCGTTTTGTAGCTATCCTACCCATTTCCAGGTTATTTTATGTATAAGATAACGGTACGGAATAGCCTTTTAAGAAGTTACATAATATTTTTATAAGCGACATAGTCCTTCTAGCTAGGATGAGGAGAGTGATATAAAGAGTTTCAACCTGGAAACCAAAAAACATAAATATATGCAAAACGTTTTTTGTACGAACGTCATAGAAAGAGAATTTTGCCTCTTAGGAGAGACGCAGTCTGTATAAAGGAGCGTTGTTTTTACGATGAAGTCCACGTCACACGCAAGTCAATGAACCCAACTCTTCCGGTCGGTAACTGGATAATAACTTGTTCGTTCAAATAAGCCATATATATATTGCGCTGTAGATTTTACCGATGAAGAATTGTGGGCGCCCATGTTAAAACACGTGACTATCGCGTCACAATGCAAAGGTGTTGCTGTGCAAATGATACAAGATAGAATAAATGGCTCGGGTAAGCTACATATGTATAAACCAAAATATAGTTTATGTTCAAGGAACAAAGGGATCCATTTTACTGTGTCGTAATCCTATGCATAGCCCCAAGATCGACATAGTAAGTCAATTCGCTGTTCTTGTTACTTCGATAACATCTATTTAACATATTTCGAAACTAAATTTCTAAGTAATGTCTTCATTTTTCCTTTGACAAACAACGCCATTCCACTTGTATCTCGGAGGACCATTCACCATTCCATCTTGGGCATAAGAAACGTTTCTAACCACAGTAAGATAAATGCTAGAGAAGCTAGAAACGTGGTCTCCCGTGCTTGGCGATGTTCCTTTCCATTCGACGAAAACATTTGTTTCTGGGAAAACGACATCACCAGTCTAAATGCGAACGACATATATCGTTTTAAACAAAATAAAGTAAATTGCTTATTGGAGAAAGTATCATAGAAACTTCGCAGAGGTGAGTCACCTCAACTTCTGAGTGTGCGCGACATTGCTTTAAGAAAATTCTCATGATAATATTTTTGCTTGATGTAAAAGGTTTCATGTTTTAGACCCGTATTCTGTAAATGCTGCTCGGTGATCTCTTGAGCGTCGATAAGGTATGCTATATTATGACTCTAAATTCCATCTGTTTATTGAAAGTTAGGAATGTATCATTTGCTTATACATGAAAAAAGCATACTCTTGAAGTAATTTTCATTTCAATCCATGCAATACCAAACTTTTCCCAGGCGGAATTTTAGATCGCAGCATATTGATTACTCTAAAATATATCTTCTCGTTGAATATTATTCCAATTTTTGAGTCACGGACTTTGCATAGTTCTTCTGCGCTCGTGTAGTTTACATTCAGAGTGGGATGTATAAACACGGAGTGACATAACTTCCGATTAGATCTGTATTCGCAGAAATCATCTGTGAAATTTTATTCAAGGTGGACTATTAATCCGTCAGCCTCATTTTTCAAACATTATAGAATTTAAACAGAGCAACGGAATAAAATACACGTTGGGAATCATGAATATGACAATAAAGAAGAAAGGCGGTTTCGACAAACTTCCTAACATCAGATAAAAAAAAAATTTCTTGTTTAAAATGGGACAAATATATTTAAAAAAAAGGTAAGTACCATATAATGTCTCAATGACGTTGCGTGGACAGATAAATATCTCACTGCACGCTTTTTCGTTACACGATAGTATATTACATTAAACAAGCAGTATATATATTTTTTCTGCAAACGAGCGAGCTTCTAAAATACGGCGTTGAGGGTAATTTCATCCTAAGTTAGGCTCTTTGGCGCACGGTACTTATTCGACTTCCGTGTCCATATTTTGAGCAGAAATGAATCCAGAAATTAATGTAAATGTGGCACCGGGTTCTTCCAACCGAGAAATCAATATTGTGGCTTTCAGTACTAGTTGCCCAAAATTTCACTAACTGTTGCGAGTCATTTTGTTACCGCCGTATTATTTGAGCAAGCTTTACAAAATCTATGATTAATCATAGCAAGTCGCAAAGGCTGAACGAATGTAAAAATCACCTCTGTCTTGAGTTTGTCTTGAAGTTTTTAAGTTATTCATGAAGACTATTGATGTTATGAGCCCAGCAATAACAAGGCCTGACAATAAGGCAAATCCGATCAGTACAGCCATTTTTGATCCTGCCGAAAGCTCCGATTTTAAACCTTGAGTAACAAGCTAAAATACAATGATCAATATGGAAGTTACTTTCGGTTTCTCCGAAATACCCTCTAGTTGAGGTACAAAATAGAGCACAGGAGACTGCTAAATTTAAACATCTGCATTCAAATTCTGTGACACAAAAACAATATAGGTTAGTCTACATGAGATCGATTAGGCGGCGACCAAATGCGATTGACGATTATTTGAGCTTTAAATTGGTAACCGGCCTTTAATCTTCCGATGTAAAACTGTTCTCGCGGATTGCCCTCCCGATATTATATACAAGTATACATGATTTTTAGGAATATTTTGTGGCATTCAAACCAATCCTTCCCCGTAAAATTTAGTTGTGCCAAAATTTAGGGGTGTATAGGCCTATAAGTACAGTGTAATCACTGTTGTCAAATATAAATAATACATGCTTGATTTGAGGGAATGTGCAACCACGTTAATTCAGGCGATATCTTCCTAAACAACATGTCTCAGACAAATTAAAATTTCAGTTAAATCTTACTTTCTGAACTTCCATCAGTTTCGCTTTGATTTATATTTGCAACTTTGGTAGCGCTACAATTCTTCGATGGATTTGACAAATTTTCTGGGTCATGTCTCATTTCTTCAAAATCTGTGCAAGCCACTCCCGATGTTTTGATAATAATATCGCCATATTCACGTCGTCTTCATTCCTATATGCCCTCTGTTTAGTCACTAGTGTATATTAGCTTAATATCTTTCACTCACTCTTCAGAATTGAAACGCTCTTCAGGCGTAGTCGTCATTTTATGTATTATCTAAAATTTGTTTGTTTGTCAAAACTGATGAAATAGTACATTTGTTTGACATTTGAGAAATACTGCTGGCCTCTTTAATTCACAGATCTTTGTACATCTTTTCTGTTTTGTAAATATTTTATTTTTGTTGGAGTGGTAATATGGCAGCAATTAAGTATAAACTTATTTTAATTTCACAGGCTCAGTAGAATTTTTTTTTGTTTTAAAGTAAGGCAAAATTTATAAAATCAACATGAATGTTATAATATTGTAAGCCCATTCAAAATGAGAAGTCCTACATCCACAAAAAACTCTAAACCTTTAGAACAAGCACAATCTATACCCATAACCAGTGGTGGGCTGCAGCCGGAACGCACCGGAACGGCGTTTCGGTTGTTGGACATTTATTGCATTTGCGTTCCTGTTGTTGAAATCAAATTATTCTAAATAGTCTAGTTTCTCTTGTAAAGTTAGTTAATAATTTATGTTTTGTTACAGCATAATTCTCAATTCTATTCACATCACATAACGCAAATAATTAGTACAGAAGTAACGTGTAATAGATGTTTCCTTGAATTATGACACCATGAAAATCCATCCTTTACCTTTCTATTAATAACATTCGTATTGAATTGCTATGAATATTCTTGTGATTTTAAACGGACATATTTCAGATCATTTCTTCATATTTCATCGCAGTCTTGAGACAGACACAAATTTCTGTAAACGCCCGCGTCATTTTGTTTCATAAGTACACTTAAATATATTACATTTTTGCGAATTAGGTGCGTTCCGGTTGTTACGATTTTTCCAGCTCATCACTGGTTTCAATATGTAATTTACAAAATTCAAAGAGGTTTGTTTCCACTAGTCTGAATCCATATAAAACATTATTCAGAACAATAGCTTTATAACAAAAAATTAATTTTTAAAGATCTAAGGTTTGTTTTAATAGTTGATAAATATGAGTTTGTGAAATACTTATTCCATTCCACACAAGGGATATTAAAAGATTTAATTTTGGAATTTAATTGCAGTATTAAATTTTAACAGATTGTATGTATACCCCCAAACTGCGGATTTATAGCGTAAGGCTAGTGCCCGCTAGATGGCAGTAGCACGATGTGTAGGGAAAATTGGTGCTTTTCTGTCCTCACCGGGTGTTTTAAAAACAACAATCGCCTGTGTAAACTTTAGACGGGAGTTTTTTTTATTTATTTGTCACTTTTGGCTGTAGTTGTTAATTAGTGACGGACCAATAAGACGTTAAGACTTTGATGTATTCCACAGTCCTTTTAAACGCGAAGAAGTGAGTTTTGTTATTGCTTTAGAGCACAGTCCTATAACTTAGTCGAGGCTTAGGACTAGTTCAGTACCTAGTTTAGATTGGTGCAGGGCACAAGTGCCATAGGTACCGGCACGGGGTCTGGTATAGTTTAGTACCACATGTACTTCTAGTTGGCCTGGCTAAACAATTTTTGCATATGTCAATCCTAACCCTCACCTGACTGAGTCACCCAAAAATTACGTCATTTCAACGTCACTGTGGTGTAATAAGGCCCACCAAAGTATGCGAATGATCGTCCAAAACGCG